TGTATTTATCCTTTTTGTTTACAAAAAAGGGATTTAGTAATAGAACTGCTTGTTGCATATAAGTTATACTTGTTTATATTATAGCCTTAAATTTTGCCTTTGATCATTTCTGCTTTTATTTTCTCCTATTTTTGACTTTTTATTATTGTTATTTTATTATTCAAAGTTGATTTATTTTCTAACTCAGTAGTAATTTTTATTGAAAGAAATTGTATTCTTGTTAACTTTTGCTTAATTATATTCAAGTATTTATTATTTATATAGAATTGAAAAAGATCCACTTCTTTTTTCTTTTTTTATGTCAAAGATAGATAATATATTGTATAAAAATTTACTTATTATGAAATATTGGTTTATCTATTTCTAGAATTTTAGTAATAGAAATAAATGATTAAGTTTTTATATAAAAGAAGAAAAAGATTTTTTTAAGTGTCTAGAAGAGATAAACAGAAAAGAAGAGACCTTTAATTTATAATAGTTCAAAAACAAAATCAATAATCAAATATAATATATAGAGATATTAGATAAGAAAGTTTTTTAATCAATGAAAGAAAGAGAGGAAGAAGATATATAGTATATTAGCCCAATATATGTAGTATACAAATTTTCCTTCACCTTTTAAAAAAAATTTTAAAAGATATAGTAAGATTCAAAAAATATATAGATATAAGATTAAAATAAAAACTAAAATTAAAGCTTATATTAAATAACCTAATTATTGAAAGATAAATCTAGAAATGATATAGATGACCTCCTAAGAACAAAAACTACTAGGGCTATCTTCTTCAAGAAAGAACTAACAAATAGAATAATTAAAGTAAAAAACAATAAAAATAATAAATATTTTTTTAAATATAACAAGCTGAACTTTAAAAAACTTTTTTTATTAATAATTTGATCACACACAAAAAAGATGTTTGCAAGAAGTTTTTATACTTCTTTGCTAATAAAGTCTTAATACTTTTCTTGAAACAACTTAAAGTATGATTTCAAAAGTTATTTTTATCTTTTTCTTTTTGTTTATAACCCTTTTTACTCAAAATCTTGACTCCTAGTAATCATGAAAAGTCAAGTAACATCTTTAATATCAATAATAAGAAAGTTCTCAAAAGAAAAAAAACTGACTGTGAAGTATCTAAAGGCTTATATAATCTTTGAAGCTGAGATTTATAAAGGTTTTCCATAGTAAAAAGACTTATTTTCTTTCTTTTTGATTATTTTGATCCTCTTAGAGCTTCCACTTTCATGATTTTCTAAAAAATTTTGCCTATCTCAGTTTGACCCTAAATTTTGAATAATACAAATTCTTATTAAATATAATTGATCAATATGAAACATATTAGTTTTTAGAATATAAATAAGTTTTTATTAATCACATTCATATATTCAGATGATATTATTAATGATTGGAAAGAATATTCTAGAAACATTCTTTTTCAAAAACTCAAATTTTTAATAAAAACTTTTATGATACTAAAAGACTAAATGATGGATAATATAGATTGCAAATTTTTATCTCTTGTTTAAGTTTCTTAAGTGGTGACAAAACTTTAATAGAAAAAAGCTAAGGTTTAAATACTTTTCTTGAGATATTCCAATTTGATGCTCACTTAAATGAAAGACCAGTTGGATTGACTTGTCTAATGTTATAGATAATAAAAAAGAAGATTTCTTTCAAGGTTCAAGTGAAGCAAGAAGACTATTCCAATCAGGTAAATTTCTTTTAAGAAGTGATTATTTTTATTTCTGAACTTTTTTGATAGATTTTGAATTGTTCTCTTTCTTCAATCATTTTTCCCTTTTTTCTTTATAACTTAATAATTCATTAGTTTTAGGCAATCAACAGTGACAAACTGTTGACAATGATCCTGATAGATAAAGGTTATTATCAATCTATCAGGGGAATGTAATATTGTTTTCAAAATCTGACTTAAAGTACTTATGTATGAAGACAAGTTAGTTACTTTGTGAAAGTCTGTAAATTATTGTAGATTTATTTTAATTTCTCAATAAAGACAAGCCATTATGATATAATTGAGAGATAAAAATTAAATAAATAAATAAAATAATAATAATAATAATAATAATAATAATAATAAATATTCTTTTATTTGTAAAGACAAGTTAAAAATCCTTAGAACAAGATTGTTATATATTGTATAATATATTTTATATTATCAATAAAAATATTAGCAACATATTAGAATTTATTCAAAGAATATATCAAAATAAAGTTAAAATAGGTTATATTTCTGAAAGAAAAGTTTCTACAAGGCAATAATTTTTCAAACAGTATACAAAAAGGAAATCAAGATTAAAAATAGATAAATTTTTCAAATAATAAAAAAAAAAGAAAAGATGTTTCAATTGAACAAATTTATTGAAAAGAGATATTAGAAATATGGATTCTTGAAGAAATTTAGATTTAATTTTAAATATTTTTTATTTTTTTTTTTATTCTTGTAACAAGATTGAATATTTTTAGATTTTTTTCTTTTTCTTTTTTTTCAATCCACCTCTCATGAAGTTTCCTGTATTTAGTGGCTTAATAGAATAATTAGTAATATATAGTATAGGAGAATCTTCACTCAAATATTATTATTGAGAGATAAATTGAGAGATAAATTGTCTCCAAGATCAAACTTAGAGGTTTTTAAGCCTATGACGAGTTAGTTAGATTTGAATGTTACAGTATGTATCATGATACTCAAATGAAAATATATATCCAATTAATTGATAAACTTCAAGGGTTATGCACACCCAAATTTCGAGCTTGTGATTCTAAATTATTTGTAAGCATGTATGGGATATGGAGCGGGCATCAGAAATAAATAAACAAATAAATAAATCTTGCAAAACCGTTCCCTAAGATAGCAATCAGAATAATTTCTTAATAAACAAATTATAATGTGCACATGGTTAAAACTTTATTATATAGAAATGAAGCGAAACTTTTAAATATTTCGATATTTCATATAAAACGATGTCAAATACTCAATCCGTAATTCTTTATGAGAACTAACGTCTGAGATTACTGAACATTGAGAAGGCCAACTATCTGCTAAGGATGCAAGGCTTATGGCTAGAATAATGAAGTTCAGATAGACTTACAAACGGAAAATCTATCGGTACCTGATAAGTCTACGTGTATATTTTGACGTAAAAATGCTGAGAAATTTCCGTCACGAGCTTATGATGAAACCATTAAAAGTCACACGGGTTAACAAAAGTTATTTGGTGGCAACCCGGAATGTTGAACATTTTCAAATTATAACACAAAGCTTAGCCTGTTTATTTCAAGAGGCATTACAATCTAATCAGTTAATTTTGAAAATAAAGTTATTGAAATTTGTCAGCATTTAGAAGTTATCGATAAAATTGGTAGAGCGCATTTATACAAGGAATGTTAGAACATTCATCTGGTATTGCATCAGGAAACTTGCGTATGAAGACGCTATGAGCAAATGATTTCGCATGCTATTTGGGAAAAATGGAATTGGAATAAATAAAATTAAATAAGTCTCTTATGGTCTATATGTCATCTTTAGTCTTACTTGTAGTCAAATTTAAAACATTATGATCGTGTCGGGTTAACGTAAGTGCATTGCCTAAAAAAGAGATTCATATCAGAAAAACCAGACATAGTCATGTTCTTTTGAACAAAGGTTCGAAGAATCGAACCAAGTATTAGAAAATAGAGAAATTATTTTGCCTTTGAATTTTCGAGATAACAATAAGATCGTGAAAGTATGAGTGGGACTTATTTCTTAAAGAAAAAGCGAAACTTTAAAATTAAAATGAGCGTTCCTGCTACTAAATTAAAAATAATCAAAATATGTTATTCAATATTTATTGAATATTAGTTAGAGACCTTATGCTCCGCATATTCAAATTTAAGTTCGAATAATATCAAATAAAATATCATCGAAGAAAGACGATGAAATAGTCAAAAAAGTAGAAAAACGAATACTGATATACATATTTACAATAAGATAAATAAAGGAACCGTAAATTTAAAAATAATAAAACTTGTATTCAGATGATTAATAATTGTTGATTAGAATTTATAATTTGAAAATTTTAAATCTGCTAAGATTAATAATATATCGACTTTTTTAATTTATTTAAAAATGGTTATAAATATATAATATTTTATATTTTCTAAATGGAAATTTTTTAATCATATAATAAGTCTAAGCATAAAAACTTTTTTTCTATTATACTGTATATGGGATGAAAATATATAAGTTTAGAAAACAAGAATAAATTTACTCTAGAGATTTAATTAAACAATTAAAATAAACATGTACGTATATTAAAAAATTAATTTAAAGTTTGCTGTAAACGGCAAAATTAATAAGTCGCGAAACCGGAAAAGATCGCATTACAATTAGTAGAATCCACGTGATTTAAATCGTGCTTATCAATAGAAGGCCTAAATGTATTTGTCGCAAACATAAATTCTTGTCATAGATAGCATAGAAGAAATATAAAAAGAGATAGATACCTTTTTGCATATAGATAGATAACCTTTATTCATGTATTAGTTTATAAAAATAATTTCTAATAAAGATTCGACAAATTCTTATCGGCTTTTGGTGTTTTTGGAGGTTGTTGTATTGGATAGATGACACAGACACGAGGACTTTGCGAGCTGTGAGTGCTAGCGACAGATTCGCCGTTATTTCGATACAATGAATAATTATATTATGATCATGTTATCAGCTCAGTTAGCTTAGAATGTGGAATGTTAAGGTATATAAAATAGTGTGAACAATAAGGAGCCATATCATTTTTAATACTTTATTCTGATATTAAAAAATAATTCGAGCATTTTAAATGCTGGTGTTTGGGTAAATGAATAACTGATATCTCTCCTCGTAATCTAAATATACACAACATTCGACGCCAAGAACTCTTATACATTTATTCTCGCCCGAAATTGCCACTATCTGGTTGTTTGCTAATCTCACCACTTTCCATATTATGTTTTGGATCTGTTATTTTCGCGTCATTGATCGTCGCGCGTGGGCCCCAGGTCGTGATTTTTGGAGACCCGAGCGTTGTTTGTGCAACGTTCGTTTGCGTAACGAAAATTGCGTCCTGTTACCACTTCGAATACTAGAGTCGGTGGAAGGTGAATGAAGATTTGCATTTGCTGGATTCCGGTAATCATCGAAAGCGTAGTATTTTGGAAATTCGTCGATTCTAACATGTAAATAATGAACGCCCAAACCGTTCGTTGATAACCATCTAGGGGTTTTTTCGTCGAAAGTTTCGTGTAAACGATCAGCGACTTCCTTCCAAAATTTATTCTGCTGTTCGATAGGTGCATTTTGGGTAAACCTACTAATGTTTTTATAATTAAGAAATTGTCCATTATCTTCGTGGGGTACAGGGATAATTAAAATTGCGTCTTTTCCTAAATTCAGAAAACTACAAGCATATTTGTCGCGATTTTTAGAGATATGTTCTATAAAATTTGAAAAATTTTGTCTAATAGTATCTAAATTTTCAGATTTCGTTGCAACAAATTCAAAGCGTTTATTTGTTGTCTCACTTGATACGGGGGCACATTCCCAAAAGTAGGCAGATAATTGTAATGTTGCATGTTTCAACGCTTCTCTTAATATCTCTAAAAAATCGGCATTTTCACCTCTTAAAAGATTAATAAAATCACGGTAACTTAATTCACTCTTATTCGGGTTTTCAAAACAATATTTGAATCTATCGTTATTTATTTTTGTAGGAATAAATTTATACGTTGGATTCGTCATACTGTACTTGGATTGCACGTTTTGAATCGAAATAAACATCTAGTTTTATATGAAATCGGTACATTATTAAAAAACAACAGCAATTCGAATCTTATAGGTGATTATCATTATGTATACCTACTATGAAACAAAAGCTCGCTTAATTGTTGTGAAGGGTAAATGTTTTGATTATCATACATGTTTGATAGCCGCGTTTATATATATGAAACCATGTCAGCTGAAGGTTGGAACAATACCGTACAACAAACTATTGTCGTAGATGATACAGTATAATTAATATGGATCACATGAACTTTGGCATCATCCCTGACTTTTAATAAACTTAAGAAAGGAAAACAATAAATTTTTAAGGAAAGATTTGCAGAGGCGACATTAATATAAGGTCACTAAGTGAATCGGAAATTATATTGTACCGTATGAAGCAAATCCAAATCTTATTCTCATAAGCTTTCCGCTTCAAAATTCCTTCCGAGTTGTCGCAATTAATTAAAATGGGAAAGAAAAATTTTAGAAGACTTTACAGACGTATTTATAATTATTTCGATGGCGATATTACTTGTAAAATTTCGGAGTTTAGTGATGAATTTGACGAAGACTGCGATTATTCTTGCATGATTGTGTATGCCATAGATGGAAGTTTTAGATGGAAAAACACCGGAGGTTTGGCCGAAGGATATAATGGAAGAAGCTTTTACGTCATTATACAATGTACTAATGACTGGCCCGACCACGTTATTAGAGATGTTGGAAATGGCCGTGTTCACCATTACATTATTAAGAACACATTAGGATATGATTTTGATCAAGACATCGTTTGCTGCGGTGGTTTTGCATATCATGAAGGAAGGTTAAAATATAGTAGTGTCTGGTTAAATGGAAGGGATCAAGTCGGTTGCGAAACTGACGGATCAAAATTCTTAAGTAGACCCGAAGTCTTATTGGCGAAATATTGTTTTAAACAATACAAAAAGTATGGCGTGGGTCATGTATTTTCCATACCGCATTACATTGAAAATACGTTTTTATAACTTCCAAATAGATCTTTAGCTATTTTCTTTCTCTCCTTTTTTTTTTTTTTTTTATTAAAAGGAAAAATGGTATAATAGAAGGGAAACTTAATCAAGATATTGGTAACTCATCTAACTATTTTGTGATTATATAATATTATGTAAATCTCCAGATTTAAATGTATCTTATCTACGTATTGTTTTATAAATATAAGAAACTTGAAAAGGTAATTACAGTAAAAGACGGAATTTTTATAAAGTGATATTTAAAGTCTATTAAATAAAAAAATCCAAACTTATATACAGTATGTATTTTTATGAATTAAACTTATATTTATAAATTATGAATGGTGCAAACTATAATATAATATATAACATACAAGTCATATTATTATAATTTAATCAATTATGTATTATCATATGAATAATTTATAAATATAATTTCAATTTGCAAAATTTTTTAAATAGTTAATGAATCATTTGATGAATTGATAATAAATTTTAATGAATTATCAATAAAAATTTTTAATAAATCATTAATAAAATATTACTATTAATTGTCAAAAAATCATAATCAAATTTTTATTGAATTGTAAATAAATAATTTGATAATAAATTTTTGTTAAATTATTAAAAATTGTTAATTAATTATATTATAAATATTTTTTTACTATTTTATTAATAATTTGTTATTGAATAATTAATTATTACTTTATTGTTAAAATAGTATTAATATGTTATAGTACGTTGCAAAAGTTTTTGGACTAATATTGCTTTGTAATTTTTATTTATAATTTGATAATTAATAAATAAAATGAAATGAAAATTTAGATTTATATTGTTCAAAAGATAGAAAATAAGATTATTTAAAAAATTTTTTAAAATATTTTAAAAAAATTATAAACATTCTATTTGAAAATAAAGAATCAATTTTTTATGATATCCAAATTTCCGTTATATATTATAAATGAAAAAAATTTATTGAAATTATTTTAATGAATAGATTTATTAAATAAAAACAAATAATTTAATAA